AGTGAACTAAGTAAATATATAATTACCCAATAAATAGCAATATAAAATTTAATTTCTCTTTAGTTGTAATTTTTGGTCGCTCCCCGACTTTTTCCATATTATCATAGTTGGTAGCATAATTATCACTATGTGGCAATTTATCTTCTTCTTGCTTCTTGTCATTATCTTTTGGTTTTTCTTTGATCCTATCCATATTATTATTAATGGATACTTCAATATTATTATTGATGATTGATAATTTAATATCATCTTGCTTCTCGTCATTATTTTTCGATTTTTCTTGTTCCTTATTATTATTGATGATTAATTTATTATCTTCTTGTTTCTTGTCATCATCTTTCGATTTATTATTCACTTGCTCCTCGACTTTTTCTTCTTTTTTGACCTCATTGATAATACAATCATTATTACCGGTGGTTGATTTAATATTTTCTTGCTTTTTGTCATTATCGTTCGATTTATTATTCCCTTGCTCCTCAATTTTTTCTTCTTTTTTGATCTCCCTATCCATATTATCGTTATTGATTAATTTATTATCTTCTTGTTTCTTATCATTATCTTTCGATTTATTATCCTCTTGCTGCTCAACTTTTTTTCCTTCTTTGACCTCATTACCCAGATTATCATTATTGATTAATTTATTATCTTCTTGCTTCTTGTCACTATCTTTTGATTTTTCTTGCTTCTCAACTTTTTTTCCTTCTTTGTCCTCATTGATAAGATAATCAATATTACCGGTGGTTGATTTAATATTTTCTTGCTTCTTGTCATTATCTTTCGATTTATTATTCTCTTGCTCCTCGACTTTTTCTTCTTTTTTGACCTCCCTATCCATATTATTGTTATTGATTAATTTATTATCTTCTTGCTGCTCAACTTTTGTTCCTTCTTTGACCTCATTGATAAGATAAATATTATTATTGATTAATTTATTATCTTCTTGCTTCTTGTCACTATTTTTCGATTTTTCTTGCTTCTCAACTTTTTTTCCTTCTTTGACCTCATTAATATTTTCTTGCTTCTTGTCATTATTGTTTGATTTATTGTTCCCTTGCTCCTCAATTTTTTCTTCTTTTTTGACCTCTCTATCCATATTATCGTTATTGATTAATTTATTATTTTCTTGTTTCTTATCATTATCTTTCGATTTATTATCCTCTCGCTGCTCAACTTTTTTTCCTTCTTTGACCTCATTACTCAGATTATCATTATTGATTAATTTATCATTTTCTTGCTTCTTTTCACTATCTTTCGATTTATTATCCTCTTGTTGCTCAACTTTTTTTTCTTTCACTAATTCTTCTTCTTCTACCTTATCTATCTTAGGTTCGCTATTACCATTGATCGTAATAGTAGGATTCACCATGGTAATATTATAATTTATTTGGTTTATGTTTATTTGATTTATTTGATTTATATGATTTATATGATTTATAACCGGTGTAACTTTTTCAATGGTTTCTTCAACAGTATCAATTATGGTAATAGTACGAGTTCCATCCGGACGAATTTCATCAGCTACTGTGCGTTCTGTTTTAGACTTGGAGTGCACCATAGGCATAGAAGTCATTATGAAAATAAATTATTAATTTTCCGATGAATGAAGAAATTTTATTCAATTTCGTAAATTATTTTTTTTATTTATGTAATCATTT